ACACACACACACACACACACACACACACACACACACACACACACACACACACCCCCACACCCACCCCCATCTGGGTTGCCTGTCTCTGGATATTGTTATTAAACTGTGATGTCCAGAACCGAACGCAGTATTCTAAATGTGATCTGATTAGGGCAGAGTATTACCTGTTTATTGCTGGAAACTATGCAGTGATACTCTGCCCTCATTAACTTTTTACCTAAGTTATACATAGCATGAAGGAGTGGAGAGAAATCTGGTTTGGATGTGAAAAGACCTCAGGCCAATCCCTAGTTCTGAATAGCTGTATGAAATTGGGCAAGTCAGATGGATCTAATATAATTGTTTTAGCTACATCATAGAGTTATCGTGAAGAAAATGGTATGTGAATGTGAGTTGTCATTATAAAGTGATTAGGACCATCTCAGCTGGCAAAAAACTTTGTAAGATTTTATTCAGTTTTGTTCAATTTATTGAAATATAGTCTTGTGTGAAAAATTATGGAATGCACACCTTCAGAAAATTAACTTACTGACCCTGATTGTAAACTTCTAATAAAATTAAGTAATTTTGGGCCTTAATAAAACTCCATAAAGGAAGCATAGCACAGCAGGTAGAGAGTTGTTCTTAGAGATAGGAATGTGACCTGGGTTCTAGTCCCACCTCTTGGACACACTGGCTGTGCGACCCTGAGGAGGAGGAATAAGCTTTTATGTAGTACCTACTGCATCTCGAGGCACTGAGTTAAGTAGGTGCTAGTGTTACCCTCATTTTATAGTTGAGGCAAGTGAGAGCTGGTGGTAGTTAAGCAAATTGTCCAGCGTTACCTGGCTAGTAAATGTCTTGAGATCAGATTTGAACCTAGGTCTTCCTAGCTCCAGGCCTAATAGCTTCCTCAACTGTGGGCAAGTCATTTGACTCAACAGTATTCTAGGCAAATTTCTTAGCCTATAAATTGCAGAGAATGGGCCAGTCTACACCAATCTAAGGAATTTCCTCATCTGGGAATTCTCTACATCAATGAAATTACATGAAATCACATGTCTCATCTCTATCCTTTTCTACTCTCTCTTTTATATGTTTACGTTGGTCATAGGTGGTCGTTCAGTCATTTGGTGGTGTCTGACTCTTCATGACCCCATATGGGGTTTTCTTGGCAGAGATACTGAAGTGGTTTGCCATTTTCTTCTCCAGTGGGTCACCTTTTATCAAAACTCTCCACCGTGACTTATCTGTCATGGGTAACTCTACACGGCATAACTCATAGTTTCATTGAGCTAAAGAAGCCCTTCCACCATGACAAGATGGTGTTCCGGGAAGGGATCAGTCACAGGACCTGGGTCTAAATCCTGGCTCTGATACTTACTAGTTAATATCTCTTTGAGCTAGAGCTCAATCCCTTGAAGGTTGAGTGTCTCCCTCCTTGCCCCCTGTAAAGTAAGGGGCTTGGTCTAGGTAGATGATTGCAAAAATCTTCAATTATTTCAAATAGGATCAAGACTAAACATTTCCCAGAAGCAAGGATTTCCCATAGCCTGAGTCTGTCCCCTTTCCCAAAATGCTGGTTCTGGATCTATTATTCTTGTCTCTGTCCACAATCTCCCATCTTTCCCACTTTTTCACATGCTTCTCTCACCAACCTTTTACATTAAAATCAGGTCACTGTGAGTGGTTAGCTGAAGCATGACATTTAAGCACATTCTGCACCCTCTCTTCCCTTTGGGTTTACAGTCAAGCATATTCTTCCATTCAGTGGACCAGCATCAGCCATTCCAATTTTGAATAGTAAGTATGGTCATTGATCTGTAGTGTCTAGTTACATAATGGAATTTTTTAAAAATTAAGTTTTTGTATGTATGATTTGTTTCTACATTGTCTAAATCTCCCCCTATATCTGTCTCCCTTCACCCTCCCAGAGAGTCAGGATATATAACAAGGATTATTTTTGAAGGAAGGGGGATGATCTCAAAGACGTGATCTATAAGCATAGCTTTGTTGCATAATAATCCACAATTGAAAGTAAGAATTTCATTCTTAAGCAAAACTATTAAAATCTGTTCTTTCTATCCTTTCCATCTTGGACATTGAAATTCACATCATGGTAAAGGAGGCAGATTTCCTCATCTTCTCAGCACTGATGGCTGCTGAGGAGTTGTGGAGATCATCACATTTGCATCAGATTTAAG